CAATGGAAAACAATGTGAAAATGACAGTTTTAGTTATTGTTCCATCTTGTCCTACATTCAATGATGTACAAAGACTCAGCACTTTAGTTGCACACTGGATTTATTATTTTCCATTTGTTACACACTGGGTTTATTATTATTTTCCATTTGTTAAGAAACACTTCAATATGTAGCATAGGCGGAGAAAGCTTATGGGAGTACACAACTGTACAATGTTCTGGAAACAGAATTTTGGGTCCACTAGGCATCATAGTGGATCATTTGGATGCAACTAGTGCTTAGTTGCTTAGCCCCCAACTCTGATTCCAAGAATAAATGTTTAAAGAGCAAATAGGTAGAAAACATGCAAGTCTCCAGTTTGAAAGCTTAAAAATCTCTGAACCACTGAGGGTCAAATATTTTGAAACCATAAAGCCACAGATGATTAAAAGTAAAACTGTATTTTCTCTCAAAATGCACTCCAGTTTATACCTAGTATACTTTTTCAGAACTGAAGCACAACAGTTCAGAAAATGGGAATTGAATTAAAACTTTCCTGTTTTAAACTCAAAGTAAAAGTAGACCACATAGTAGGAGGTAGAAAGTTCAACCCATTATGAGTCTGTCTGTTGCAACAGCAGTTTCTGGGGTATGGGCATGATAGGTCTGCTGGTTAGTTGAGAGTTAATGCTAGGTTCTCTCAAAATAAGAAGTATATATATAGAGAGATTTTAGACTGCTGTATAGGATCCAGCACAGATGCTGGTCTCTCCATGACATGTCTTAGGCATACTGATACAACTGTACTGTGTCAGAAGAGATTTAGAAACAAAAGATTTAGAAAGAAAAAGAATGGAACTAAATAATCTTGTTGAAATATTCTAGCACAAAGATGCTAATCATGCATTTGACCTATCAATGTAAACACTAAAACATTAGATGGTGAGGATCAACACAGTACTCTGACACGGTTTTGCCAAATGCAAGTGAATGAATCATACAGTAAAATAAATATGAGAAAATCTTTTGATATTGAAGGACAGTGTAAGTTCAAGGAGCTAACAGTTAAGAACAATTTTGGAATGAATTTGAAATCTAAAAGCAGACATGAGTAGAAGATAGTGAGGGTTTTATTATGCAGAGTTCTGAGGAAAGAGAGGGGGTGAATTATTATTCAGGTTACATGTAGAGACAAAAGCTTAACACTGACTATGAAACACAAAGAAACTGTCAGAGACTGAAAGGAAGAGAAGAAAAGAACACAAGACTCTTCTCTTTATGTGGACACTGACATAAGGAAGCACTGTTGATGTATCTGTTTTATGTAGACTTTAGGGAATTGGATGCATCTTTAAATATTAAATTTGTTTCTGGTGAGTTAGAGTTATTAGGAAAGTTTTTGTAAGAAGGGAAACAGACACAGAAATAGCGCTAACCAAAATGTTTATTCTGTGTTTCAGGATAGGCATCTTTCCCCATGTTTGAGTAACTAAATAGAAGAATGGTAGCCAGATTTTCACAAGTTCTGAGTTTTCATCCAATCCCATTAGCTTCAATGGCTCAACATTTCTAAAAGAGAACCAAGCACTTATACCTGTGTGCCTAAACAGGGAATTCACTAATTTATGTACTTTTATATGGGAACTTTTGTCCCCAAAGCACTGAGTAGACTATATATACACATTTCCTTCAGGGTCATCCTTTTTTTCTTTCTATTAAAATATTTGACTTCTATCCTAGGTATCTTACTAGGTACACAAGCTATGAAAAATGAGGCCACAGTTATTCAGGAGCTCCAAGTCTGTATTCAGAGTGCTAGGAAAGTGTAATCTTAAAAACAAATCTTTCCTAGCTGTATACAATTCAAGCTTTCACTAATATTCCTTCCTTGAAATCACATTTCTCACAGCTTTTATTTCACAAGAGTTGAAGCAGTAACAGTATCACAGGCTTGGACAGATTTCTTACCTGGGAATTTCTGTGCAGTAATTGGGAGGGCAGAAAAACAGCAGCATACAGTTCCCTTATTAAATATTTATACTACAGCAGCCCCCAGAGGGTCCAATCAGGACAACATTGTGTTGGGCATCAAAGAGACAAGTGGACATGATGACTGCCTCAGCTGGCAGGTAATCTGAGGCCATGGACATAATTAACATTCGAAGAGCTTCATACTGTCATCCTGAAGTGCTATCATAGGGAAGTGGGTGGGGAGGAGCCACAAAATGCAAAAGCCCTGTTGCAACCCCTAGCTGGAAAGCACACCACTGCATACAGCTACAGTAATTTTGAAGTGCTCCAGCTGTCCAAAACTGATACACTCCATTTTTGAAGCGCTTCAAAGTACAGTTGCATTTTGAAGCAATTTAATTGTTATGTTGCCTCTTATCTGACAGTTCCAGATTTCAGATGTTCCACTAGGCTTTTGATAAGAGACTGTCAACACACTTTGACTAGCATTTTTTTGAAAAAGAGAAGAATTAAAATAAACTTCAGGTGCTATACCTGCCAGTTTTTGTGGATTTATAATTACATTTTACTAATTTTAGAAGATGTTTGTGTAGTTCTTTCATGCAGCTCGTGAGGAAAAAAAGTGACAATCCTGCAAACATTTAAGCATTTGCCAAACTTCTGTTTTTTGAAGTTAGGCACATGCTTTAAGTGAGACCTATGAAACTAAATGTACAAAGTGCTGTCAAATACAAGAAAAACACAATTATTCTCTGTGCTCTATGCTCTTTCAGTTATTAGAAATCAAAGGAAAAATCAGTGAAAGGATGTATTTTTCAGCATATAGCCTTACTTTAAATAAGTTATTTACTATTGCAGCTGATTTAGCTCCTTTAAACACACCCATTAGGCACAGACTGGAAACTTTTGGAAACTTTTTTTTTAAATGACTAAAGGGTGGGTACAGGATTTTCCTAAGTTAGGCAGCTTCTAATTCAACAGTATTATCACCATCCTGTTTATCATTAACAGATTCATAAAACCCATTACTTAATTTCTGCAAGGAGGCAAATGCTTCTAGTCATAGTACATTCAGTCCTAAAAGCTAATTTCCCATCTCTAATCCTATGTAGTCGTCACTACACTATCAATTGCCTGGATTCCATTTTGGTCTTCAGTTCTACACAGTGCTGGGAAGAGCATAATCTATCAAGGTGCAATTGTTAATCATCCCATCATGAAATATTAACACAATACACATAATTATACCTTTTAAATTGAAGCCATCTTAGCTATAATTCTTCAGCACATCTACAAATGTATAATATTATAAGTTAGTAGAATAGAATGATACAGTACTTTATATTGGAAAAATAACATTCCTAGTACATGCATTTAAGGTACTTATGCCCTGAACCTGCCCCATTTGATTTTAATATGGGCAAAAATGTGCCTTCTTCATTTCTCATGTTCTAGACATTAGCTGAACAAGTTCTTAAGGTCATCTATACACATACTTTGGGGTTGGGTGCTTTAACTAGAGCAGCTTTGACAGCCACTCTAATAAAAGTGCTCACAGCGTCATGTGTATTCAGTGTCGTGTGTTTCAAAATGGTGGCGGTGACACTTTAACTAAATCATCCCTGCTGCCATTTTGAAATGTGGGGATGCTGAATACACATGATGCAAAGGCTGCTGCAGCACGCTAATTAGCACGCTCCAGCAGACTCTCAGCAGACTCAAATAATTGAGTCTGCTCTGATGTGTGCTAATTGGCATGCACTGGAGCAGAGGTCTGTCATGCATATAGGTGCCCAAAGGTACTAAACCTTTCAACTCCTTCCTTCAAAGGGGTTAGTTTTCCCTGGAATAAGATGGAGTTAACATGCTGATAATGAATTCCCAGATGATATTAACACAGAGTCAAAGTCTGTGCTGGCAGTTATAGGTGCCTAAAATAAGTTTTGAATTTACTGTTCATCTTCTCTGGAAGAAATTAACATATAAAATGTGAAGGGAGGAGATCCTGACATCAATCTTCAGGTCAGATCCAGTGGAGAAGAGAAAGCTGGCATTTAAAACATTAACAGCTTGAAATCAGAGTTCAAAAAAAATTGCTCAGTTTATTCAAGACATAGTCAGGTCATGGGAGGTCCCTAAATTAAAGTTACTGTGAACTGGACCTACTTCTGGGACAGCATTAGATCCTCTTAACTAACTCCCTCAAAAGCACATAAAAGTAATTATGTAAAAGAAAAACCTTTAACCTTAACAGATCCATTTCCTTCATTCTTAATAGATAAAATTGACAAAATTACATCCCTCATCTCTGCTGTCATCCTCCCTTACTCTTCTCCTCAGAGAAGTACCAATGCAGGTGGGTGCCTGGGCAGCTGGGACACATAGGGACAGTGGCAACTTCTACCTACTGCTAGGCCACCAGTGAGACTGTTGTTGTGATGACACCTGCTTTTTTTTCTGTCTGGCCCGCCAGTTACTCACCCTTTTTATGCCACTGTTTCTCCATAACTTTTCACTTTCATATATCTTTTCCCTCTTAGAGGAAGCGTCCATTAATCTATCCAATTTAACCTCCTTTTCCTCCTCAAACACACATATACACACACACACACGCCTTTGACCCCACATGCTTCTCACATTATTGCACCATACATATGAACCTTTCACTTCTAACTATTATATGTATATGCTGCTTTTTGAACACCGTTTACAATTTCTGTCTGGAGCTCTTCTCGAGTTACATCCTAAACCTTCTCCTATCTAACTTCCTTCTCTTTTACTTCAATGCCTTTTTACCATGTGGTAAATTGTTCCTCCATCCATACCCACAGAGAGTGAAAGATATTTTCAATTATTCTATACGCATCAACAAAATTGTCTGCCAAATGCCAGTTTCATCAGTAGAAACTCACTGAAGAGCTGCCCCACTTCACTGTAGACTTTAAGAATACATCTTGACTTTTATATTTTAGTCTGAGAAA